AATGATAAAAACTGCCTAATGCACCTATAAATAAGCACTTTAAATAAAAAAACACAAGTAAATTGAGGACTCTGATCACTTCGACAGGAGCTGAAGCAGGACATCTCTAGCTTCCGCTACGAAATCATTGGAATGATGAAAGGCAACCGGAAAAGTACTCGTGCGAACAAGACGGGCACAGCGTCCTCCGATGTTTCTCATCCAGACGGTTCACTTCAATATTCCTCGACTCTTCCACAGAACAAAAAACTACATTTGTACGATGTCACTGCAGTGATACAGCAGCAAAAATCTGAAGAGACAAGGGAGTCTCTCGGCTGTCTGGCCAATGGATCAGCAGTAGTTTTGACTGACCCGATACTCAAAGACAAAGCCAGGAAGGACTTCCCTAAGGATTTTACAGACTTTGGGTTATTTCCAAAGAAACAAAACAGTCTCAACCCAAATAAGATCTACTCGCTTGCTGAAGAGGCAAAGGAATCGGATTCTGACATATTAGACTGGGTGAGAGAGGAAACGGTTGAGAAACCTCTGGCAGAAGAAGCTGAACAGGAAGAAAATGAATCAAAGTGCTTGATGGAGGAAGAGGAAAGTGTGTTACAGGACCAAGAGAACGAGCACATTGCATCTCCACATGAACATTAGATAAACAAACTCTCATTCTTTTTGTATCCAAGGATTATCTGAATCTCAAATTTAGCTGGCATACTTTGTCAGAGAGGAAACAGTATCCTTTCCAATGCACAGAGGTGAGGTTTTGCAAGATGAATTGTCTCAGGAAAAGGTATTTGCTTGGTTGCAACCATAAATCTGGAGGATAAGAAAAGCTAGGGAAAGTACTACACAGTGTCCAACTGACCTGTTGGATAATTTTATTTTTTTATTTTTATCTTATGTATTTATCCTCACATTTTCACTGTGCAGCATCCTCTCATCCCTTTTTTTGTGAAAAATAACTTTGGGAGAAAAAAGCTTGAAAAATAACAATCATGTTATCAATCACCAGAGAAACTGTCTGTTATTGTTATTATTATTGCATATTTTTTAAAAGATATAATACTTTTATTCTGCAAGGATGCATTAAATTGAGCAAAAGTGACAGTAAAGACATTTATAATGTAACAAAAGATTTCTATTTTAATTCAGTCCTGTTCATTTAAAAAAATGATCCTAAAAAAAGGATCACTGTTTCCACAAAAAAATGTTTCAACACAACAGCAAACGTTTCTGTAAAAAAAAAAAAAAAAAAAACTATTTTAAACTGTAAGAATATTTAACAATATTACTGTTTTTACTTTATTTTTGATCAAATAAATGCAGCCTTGATGAGCATAAGAGACTTGCCTCAAAAACATTTAAAAATCTTACAAACCCCAAACATTTGAACTGCAGTGTATAAATAAAAATATGTTGCACATGACATACAACAGCTGCACAGCCTGATTTAAAAAGTATATATACAGTATATGACTATGCAATCTAAGTATAGCACTCATAATACAGATGTCTAAATAACAGTTTAACCTGACTTTCATGGACCATATGACATTCAGTAATATTTCAACTGTAGCTATATGAGAAATAATATCTCTCTCTCTCCTAGTAATATACTGCAATTCCGTATTCTTTGTTATCTTTATGTTCTGCTTACAAAGTCTGCCCGCAATTACTTGCATGCAATTTTGTATTTTTCCAATTTCATGCCCACTAATAATGCTTAATCATTTGTTGCATTCATAAGTTACTTATTTTTGAAAAATGAAGACATTTGATATACTGGAAGTTTTTCATTATGCACACTATGTCGTCTCTCAATTTTCCAATCTGGTTGCACTACACTAGCTGATTGATATTACAGCAGTCGTAGAATCTTTCACTCTCACAATTGCTTGTTATTTGTCTTTTGCTGCTATGGCAACACGCAGTGGCTGCTCTTGTTCTTTAATTAATTGACTTCACAGCAGTTCCTTTATCTGGGGGCACACCATGCTGTTTTCAATTAGCAGTGAATAAATTGTCAGCAGATAGTTTCTCAGACTTTGTTGCTTTTGAAATGAGTCACTCCCTGTGTCTTTGAGGTAAATGTGGTAGCGATGAAAAATTTGCTGTGAATCTTTTTGCTAACGTTCTAGGGATATTCTTTTTATGTTTTTATAATTATAAACTAACGTTCCAAGAACAGAAAGTTCTTAGGTGTACTATTAAACTAATAACTTTCAGTTAAAGGTATATATACTATATGTATGTTTTCTTTTTTTCTGTACTTTCCTTTCCCATCTCGTGATCTCCTATCTGTTTACGGCAGAATCCCTCTGCAGCTTGAGCGGATTATGTTCATGTTCTGATATTTACTACCGATGTCTCTCGGCTCGCCAGCATCTCATGCAACACTGCGGCACGACTTGTCCAAAAGCCATAAAAGCACTGACAGAGAAGAGAGGGAAAAGAGAAAGAGTGGGAAGGAAGTGAGGGAGCTATTTCCAGATGCATCTCGTGTACGCACTTTCACTTCAGAAACATGATTCTGTGAGATTGTAAATGACAGTTTTAAACATCAGGTTTTTCAAAAGATAACCCAAATCCTGTTTTGACAGAGTCAGTGTTTATTAGGATGTGTGAGGTCAAGCAAGACTCTTTCATTGCAATTTGATTGTTAGAAGGTCAGAAGAAAAAAGCCCTTGAATGCCAGTATGTTTGGCGACCACTGGGGTGAGTGTTTGGAAAAGTCCACTGCACCTTTATGTCTTATAACTAACTGTAAATAATATTTAAAATCTCTGTTTTCTTTTTAAGTCCAGGGCCAACAAAGTGCACTTTAGAACTGGCATCGGGAAGAAAGATAGATGTCTTCAGACTGGACGCCCTAAAAAATTCTGCTAATATGTCAGTACAGTTTTATGTCAAAACCATCGTATTTTTTCTTATTGTTGTAATGGTTTTCCACAAGATGGAGCCACGTATCCAAAAGGTTCCAAAGGCTGTCATAGATACCACCATCTTTTCATAGTCATGTTTGCATCTGGCCACAAGAGTGAGCCAAGCGCAGAGACATGATGTTGGATGAGACCACTGTATCAGATGCCTCGGGGCTTGATTTGTATTAGTGTCAAAATGCAGATACTTGGACTGAAGCTTATAGTGTTACGTAAAATTGATTTATACTTTAATCCTGCAGCCTTTGGTTTGCAAAATTTAGTTCTTCACTGAAATACTTCCCATTTAAATTACAGGTTTACCAACAATATTCCTTGAAAAAAATCATTTTTTCCTTATATAACATAACTCTTTGATGAAGCGTGAGGTCGAAAAGTCTGAGAACAGTGAAAATCTGGGATTTAATGTCCATGACTGGAAAAAAAAAAGGTCAAGGTCAAGTTTATTTATATAGCCCTTTAAAACAACATAAATGCTGACCAAAGTGCTGCACAACATATGAGACAAAAACATCCTCATACAATACAATTTAAATACTAATAAAATAAATCAAAAGAAAACAGAACAAAAATTAATAAAGTTAAAACAAAACAAAACATCACCATGCAAAATAAAACTAAATCAAAACTAAAATATCAAATTAAGCAAAAAAAAAAAAAACAAGTTTGGAAAGATTTTGAAAAATTTACAGCAAAGAAAAAGTGTAACTTAAAAAGGAGAAATATTTACGATATTGCTTTATATGTAGAATAAAAATTTTGACATTGAGCATGAGAGCAACTTTGTACAGATGCTCAGATGTACTTGCTTCAGTTGAAACACAAGATAATATTTTTGGATCATTGTCCAATTTTAGATATACATAATCAAGTTACAAGTTTGAGTGCTGCTGTCATGTAAGACATTCTGAAATATCTTTGTTTCACTCAAATTCTGATAATATAATTTCTACCAGAAAGACTCAGGAGGTGATGATAAGATTCGAAAGAATTTATTTTACAAAACCAAGGCATAAAAAACAGAATTCTTTGGCGTAGTCCCCATCCATAGCTTGAATCTGTAGGTTGAAGATTCAGCTATTTCTGCCGAGACGAAGGCAGGGGCGGAGCCTACCCCCCCTGCATGGACAGGGCCAATGAACCTGGTGGTGGTGGGGAGGATGGAGGGGAACATCAGTGTCAGTTTCTGCAAACACAAGGAAGGGTGAGTAAAGAACTTTTATATTTCTCGTGTCGAGTGACGATTGGCTAGATCTAATTGTAATGCGTGACGTAGCATTAAGTCTTCCTAGTAGAACTTGCGCTAAAGCTTCCATTTCTATGCGAGTTATGTTCAGAATGACTTGAAAGTCTGGTAGTGTGTGATCCTCAGTTCTTTAGTGTATGATCCTCAGTTGTATTTACTTATTTATTTTTGTAGCCATTTGCTGCAATTCTTGCTGCAATCCATTTGCTGCAATCCTATGATGCACATGATAATTAAGAAGAGCCTATTAGCTAAGTCAACAAGGGTTTGATGCCTAGTGTTCTAAAATATGTTCAGATTTTAAAAGTCGTGTAGTGCATTCTAGCCTTTTTAGTCTTAATCATATTTTGATTCCTTGATATGGCCATCCATACATTCTTCAAACAGCTTGTAGGGTCAGGGGTAGATATGGCCAGGCCGGGCGAAAAGTCTGAGCCACGCAATTTGAAATGACTTTTTTCTTTTTTTAGGATTATTAATAAAAAAAAAAAAAAAAAAAAAAAAAAAGTGAAATCAAATGAGAAAAATGCCAAATAAATCATTTCTCAGACTTTTGGATCATTCAACAGTTATGAAATTGTCATATGTATGTTGCATATTTCTGTGGATTTTTTTTATTTATTTGAAATATCACTCGTAAAGAATAACTGCTTTCAAATTTAAAAAATGTGAAAGTTCTATACCAATCCTAATATGGACTAAAATAGCTCCCCATGTATATTATTATTCATTCATTAGGAACTGTACAATCTTGTTGTTAAATGAATCCTCCACTCTTTGTGTTTTGCTTATTCAGTATTAAGAGGTGAGATCATAGAGACACTGGTGAACAGGAAAGGCTGGTGCACTGATAGTTTGCCAGTCTCTCCTGCTGATGAGAGCTGAGCTATAAAAGCCCTCTCCCCCTCATCTGGAGCCCATTTCTTGGTCTGAAGTCTCACAGTGGGGAAAGCAGGGATGAAGCTACTCTTTGCAGCTACTTTTGCACTCTTTGTGCTGTCTGCCTTTGACCAGGCAGACTCCTCAGCTTATGACAAGATAGTTGCCCATAGTCGTATTCGAGCAAAGAAAGAAGGGTAAGAGATATTGTTAAATTTATTTATTTATTAGCATTAAAATAAGAACAGTTGTTATGATTTATATTTATGTTTTGTATATATTTTTAAAGTTTGCATATGTTGCTGTTATTATTATTATATTTTTTTATTTAAACTTTCTTTGTCCTTGCGCATCATAAGTAAACTGTAAAACTGTAGGAAAAAAAATTTAAATTGATGTATTATAAAAACAGTCTATTAAGAACAAATCAGTTTATTTAAAAGTATATATTTAGGCTACCTGATACAATGTTATTTGTGTTTTTTAAACATTTTTAAAAATTAGTAATACTTTTTATATCTTAATTTTAATAATGTTACTTTATTTTTATATTATTCGATGTTTCATATTTTGTTTGAAATTGTATTTTATTATTGTAATTTTCTAATAATTTTTTTTTTTTTAAATGAACTCTGAGTGTATTATTTATTTATTTGTTTGTACAAATACCTTAATATGCATATTAAAGTTAATATTATATTACTTTAGGTATATTTATATATATTTATAAAACAACTGAATAGGTATATTTAAGAAATAGGTATATTAATGTTCATTGTTTTAATTTTACCTTTATTTCATCAAAGCTAAACCTTATTGTCCCAGTTTTAAAGAAAAGCACCATGCTGTCACACACACACAAAAAGCACATCTGTTGCACTCCTCTGTCTTAGCTTTACTCATTTCATCCTGTCTTACCTCTCTGCAGACCAAATGTGTGCGCTCTCCAGCAAGTGGTGGGGACAAAGAAAAAATACTTCAGCACTTGCCGTAATTGGTACCAAGGGGCCATCTGTGGAAAGAAAGCGTAAGTGTGATGTTTTATGATTTCTGGAGGCTATTCCAAATCCTGTCTAAGGTGAAAGGTGAAAGGTCACTGTCCCAACTGGTAAGAGTGCGTGAAGATTTCCAACAGTTACATGCACATATGATTTCCTACTTAAGCAGATCTCCAAATGCAGCTTAATAGTTGGATTTACAATGTTTTAAATAACTTTGAAAAATACAAAATTTGACAGCAACAGTAGATTTACAGCAGCCTGGCTGCCAAAACAAAGAATGGATAAATAGAAAAATAATTACTCCACTGCTACTAACCAAAGTCCATGCGTTACTACAGCACTCCGGAGAATTGCAGAACCTTAATTGGTATAAAATGGTGAGGCCCACTGACATTGTCAGGACATGCCATAGATGATTAAAGAAAGCAGTAGAGCTCGCCTGGAGTGCTTGGCTTGTGTTGAAACACCTTTCCTTAAATTTCTGTCCTAAGGCAAAAATACACAGCTGTCTACAAGGTGGAAATGTCAGCAGGATATTTTGTTTATCGGGAAGCTCTGTGGCAAAACTAAGTGAACTTAATGATGTGTGAAATGTAAAAACCAACAACAACCAAACAGATTGCAACATCTAGATCAACAATATGCAGGAAGATGAGCGCAAAGTCCTACTGTGAAGGCTCCAGTAATGACCTGGTGGTTTATGGAGAACAGCATGGTCAACCACAACCGTTGATTCATGTAGAGTTTGTTATGCCTCCGGTTTCGAATTCTTTTTCTGTGGTTGGAAAAGAGAGGAAACGGCAACGTAAAGAGGTTACCCGGCCCTTTCACGTGTGACCAAACAGCACCGTTTTGAGGTAACCTCCAGTGGTTTCAAACTTCCTTACTTGCAAATCCAGACTTGCCTGCAATATTCTGTAGATTTTCTGCTTCCCTTGCAGTTTTGATTAATGGAAAGCCAGGAACTGTTCTGCTCCGAGTATTTTCTCTGCACTTAGCATACCATTACATAGCGGTCTGGCAATCTTTGTAAATATCTGGTTTAGTGTGTTTAGCTTACATAATTGAAATGAGTATGACAGTCCTAGATCTCTCGCAAAGATTGGCGCAAAAAAACGATATCACTGATGGCTTCTCAAAATGCAGATGAGGGAAGATGGAAGATTACTACCTTTTGAAGTGTCCAAATGATCGGTTTGATGTTCTACAAAGCTTATCTAGATATATTTTGCTAGATATCTCCACCATCTGATGGTTTTAACTCCATCCTGATGGTTTGAACGTGTGCGTAATGTTGTGGATCCTTTGAACTGGTGACTCACTAGGCAGAACTTCAGTGAAATTGGAAAATCTGACCTTCTCCCCAATGATTAATGTAGCCGTATTCCCTCAGTGTCTGGTCAACAGGAGTCATGTTTTCCTCCTATTTTTGGGAGAGATTCTTTAGAAACTCATGTTCTAGCAAGACTCTAATGACTTCATCGACATCCCTCGCCTCCCCTTTCACTGTGCTTCACTTCCATAGAAGACTCAGAGGCCAGAAATGATCCAAAACTATTGCTTCTGGATCCTCTGTACAGCGGTCACATAGAGGACAACTTTGAAATCCCAATTAGGTTCTTACAGTCTCGTGATTGCACAATCTCAGAGACTTGTCAGTTTCCAATGTTCCACAGAACTCAGCACTGGATGTCATTTCTCATTTGGTGATTTGCAGGCTGTTTTATCTGTTTGGGGAATTCAGCAACTTGCATCACATGGAACCGTTTTGCTGGTGTGGAGATTTCCAAGTGCGGCAGCCCACTAACCCTGACTAGTGTCCATCTGTGAATCTAGAGTGCGTTTAATATCAGCAGCTTTGAGAACTTCTCAGCGGATCGTAACTCTCCAGTGGTGTTTTCTCAGAGAACCATATAAAAAACCTGTTTCCCATTAAAAGCTATTTATTAACTCTACAATACGGCTGCTATATAGTTGGTATAATTAGCTTAGGTGAGTTTATTGAGCCCATTATTCATATTAAGAGCCTGTTATGATGCATATGAACTTGGAACTGCCTTATCACACACTAAAGGGAATGGAAAAGAAATAAACAACAATAATGATACATAAAAATATCTGTTTATGGTGTTATTTAAAATCCTAATTTAAGTTCTAAAGTACGTCAAGTCTGCACAAGTCAAAAACATTATTTCCTTAATTTACATGATGCTTAATAAAATAATTTGATATGCACATGTGTAGATTTATATTTAGACACTTATGCATATTTGTAATGTTTTATAATGTATTAATTATTGTTTATTAAATATAAGTTTGAATATATATATTTATATAATTTTATATATAATTTTGAATACATTATTTATATATTTTTAGATTATATTTTTGGCTTCTTAATTCTACTAAGAACAAAATGGCTTTTCATCCATGAGATTCAATTTGTGTGGTAATGGAAATATATTTACTAGCTTGGTTTGAAGGTTTAAAGAGTCCAAGAGTTTCAATGAAAACAGAAAAACCATAGAATGCGCCCTTCATTACTGGAAAACTGCTGATTCGACATTTCCTTCCATTGTACATTGTAACTTCCAAACCAACGTTTCACTGGGTTATAAATTTTCTTTAAAGGCATCCTGGATCCAAAAAATACCCCTCAGCCTTACCAAACCACCATGCTGGTCTCAGCGCTTAGCTTCAGGGCACTTAAAGTATTAATGCAATGCTGTGACAACATAATGATAGTGGAATACGGCACAAACCTCAGGACCACATAGCATGTTTATGTACAAAGACAGTTAATGGTTACCATATGGACAGACTGTCTGTCCAGGACCATGAACTGTGTTATCATTAAAACCGGGATAGCTTGTAACGACGAGTGAATGGCATCCAAGAAAAAAATGAATTTGAGCCTGTACACTACAGGTATTGTATTTTTTCAAATGGCGCCATATGTCTGAGATTCAATACTCACTTAACAGTTCTTCTTGTTTTCTATCTTCCTTCTTCGTCCAGGACTGTGTTGTATGAGTGCTGCCCAGGTTACATGAAGCTGGATGGTATGCGCGGCTGTCCTGCAGGTTGGTTTCTTAATAGTTTCTTTGCTGACCAGTCAGACATTGGAAAATCATTAAGTATGGCTATATTGTCAATACATTAATTAGATTGTAACCTAATTTGAAAGCTACAATCTTAGAGCTAATCCTGTAGCCAATCTGTGTCATTTTTCTTGCAGTTGCTCCCATTGACAATGTTTTTGGCACCGTCGGCCTGGTCAAAGCCACAACGACCCAGGACTACTCTGCTCTATCCAAGCTACGGGAAGAGATCGAAGGCGCCGGGTCGTACACTTTCTTCGCCCCCAGTAATGATGCCTGGGATCTTCTCGATCCGGTAACAGCTCATTCCTTCTTTCTCCCTACAGCACACACATGAAAATTTAGTAATTCCTCGACTGTTTTCCAATGGCTTGCTCTTTGTCCTACAGGAGGTAAGGACTGCTCTGGTGAGCAATGTTAATATTGAGCTGTACAATGCTCTGCACTACCACATGGTCAACAAACGCCTGCTTACCAAAGACCTCAAGAACGGAATGACCGCCACCTCCATGTACAACGACTTGAGCCTGCTCATCAATCATTACTCCAATGGGGTAAGTTGATATCTTGAGAAATGGAGGGTTACGTTATAGGTTACTTGCGTCTCCATGAGGAACTAATTTTACATGTGGTTCTCGTTCAGGTTGTCACAGTGAACTGTGCCAGGATCATTCACGGCAACCAGGTGGCCACCAATGGAGTGGTCCACGTCACTGACCGCGTCATCACGGCCGTTGGCAACACTATTCAGGATGTGATCGAAGTGGATGACGACCTGAGTACTTTGAGCGTAAGTCTTAAGGAAACTTGGAACCGTGTAGTCAATGAACCAAATTTGTTTATGCTCCATTTCTTTTCCAGACTGTGGCCACTGCATCCGGTTTGATTGAGAAGCTGGGTCAACCGGGACACTTCACCCTGTTCGCCCCAACCAATGATGCCTTTGACAAGCTGGATAGAGAGGTTCTGGATAGGCTTATGGAAGACAAGAATTCCCTCCAAGGTAAACCCAAGCACCAAGACGTAAAGCCCCATGCGCTATTCTCAAGCAGAGTGCTTTAAGTTGCTGAAGGGAAACGTTAAGTCCCATATTGATGGCAGACTTGGCACAAAGAAAGGCTTTATTCTTATTTAATGAGACAAAGGTGCAGGAAATCAAGGGACTGGCGGTTCCCTCGTAGCGTGTTTGTTGATCTGAGTCAACTGAGTGAGGCAGTGTGTTATTTCACCCCATTTCTAACCAGATGGGCCCGCTGTACCCTAAGCTGTAGACCTGGAATTCTCAGACAGTTGGCAAACAGTGCCATAACCACACTTATGGGACTACTTTGAGATTTAAACAGGGTTAATACAGTTGAGCCACTTGGAGATGAGATCAAATCTGAAGGTTTTCGGCAGCAGAACTAAAGTTTATGGGTACGTCTTACAGTATTTTCAAAATACTGTGGTTGATGTTTGCTTTGGAGTTCGGAAACATTAGCTTTCCCGGTGATCATGTAAAAGAGTTACGTAATGCCCACTCTCATGAATATAAGGTTTGTCTAAAATACACTAAGGGTTATAAATACACTAAGGGTTATATTAACTGCTCGAGTGAAACTAAAATAAAACTAATATTATGGCCAAATCTGTTGTGCCAAGCGGAAAGATATTTGATCTACTACTTAAGCGGAAGCCAGGGAAATGAAAAAGGAAAACTCCAAGCTTAACCTAGATACTGATGCCTGGTTCAGTTAGCTATTCACTGCATATAATACCATCAAATTCAGCACATGGTGAGAGAACAATGGTTTGTGTTTTCCAGAGTGATCCAGAATGCATTTTACAACCGTTAAAGCAGTATGTTCATCTTAAGGCCAAAGGAGAAAGATCTAAGACCTTCTGAAAAGAGCATCGTCCTTGTCTTGCCAAAAACATATAGACAGGAAACAGCTGTTAGCTTTACAATCCAGTGAAGATTGGCGGCGATGGGATCTCTGCCCTCTTATTAGTCCCTAGCCAGATATTTGACGTGAGATCAGAGCGCTCCATTTGCAGTCAAATGGCTTGGAGCTGCTGAGAGATTCACTCAGAGAGGACCCAAAGGCTCCCAAGGATCCCTTATTGAAACGAATGGGTGATGCAGTGTCATAATGGATTAAATGCATGCATTTGCATGCTATCTACATAATCTATAAATAACCATAGCATTTTAAAGACAAATTTTAAAGGTCATGAAATTAAAGTTTTGTGACTTTAGGTCCATGTCTGTTAGCTTTGAAGATACTGTTTCTATATGCTAGTGCCTATTTTGGTAGATACAGGCATTTCAAATTTAAAACCATTCTCTTCCAGGAAATCAAATTAGAAATTTTATCACATACGTTGCACTACACAGATTTTTATTCAATCAAAAGCTCTCTAGAATGAGATCTGCAGTCAACTAGCAAGGAAAATTTTTTTCGACATGCCCTGCCTAAACTTTCTGGAACTGTGCTTGCCAAGTGATTTAATGCAAATTAATATCATGTTAAATCACTGTGCAAAATTGTCATTTAGCATGTTTGTATGATGCATTTTCAAATCTGACTCATTCCCATTTGTGATTTTTACCTGATGTGGTATGTTCTAAACATTAAAAAACAAAAAACGTAACAAATGTAATTTTTCCATGATTTCCTCATATCTCAAGAGGTGTGTAAGAGGAATAACAGATGTGCTTGGATGACAGAGACTAATGTCTCTTCTCTTCCAGCTCTCCTCAACTACCATCTGTTGAACTCTGTTCAGTGCTCCGAGGCCATCATGGCCGGCACGTCTTACGAGACCCAGGAGGGCAGCAATATTGAGATTGGCTGCGATGGAGATAGTCTCACAGTCAACGGCATCAAGATGGTACTCAAGAAGGACATCGTCACCACCAATGGAGTCATCCACCTCATCGATCAAGTCCTCATGCCCGACTCTGGTTAGCTTTACCTCCTACCATCCTTCAGAAATCATTCTAACATGCTTTTTAAATATTAGGATTTTGCTTTTTTCTTCAAAGCTAAGCAGGTTATGGAGTTGGTTGGACAATCTCAGGGCACCTTCAGTGACATGTTGACAGAGCTGGGCTTGTCTGCAGCTATGAGACCCCAGGCTGAGTACACGCTCCTGGCTCCACTGAACACAGCCTTCAACGGTGAGCAAACAAGTCTGAATACATGTCAATCTCTCTTTCTACCTCCCTTTAACTAACTTTCATAGTCTCCTCGCCTGAACACAGCTGCTGGTTCCTTCTCTTTCATTGTCTGTTTTAATTCTACCTTAGCAAGGCCTGTGTTCTTTCAATTGCTGATGTGCCTTGCCTCTGTTAACCTCCGCAGTCCCATAACTATAACTTTGATTCCTCACAGGATAGCAAGTGTAAACAGATGATTCATACAGTGCATGTGTATGGAAAATGGCAGCTTGCTGACATGGTAGCTGTATCTGTTAATCTCTGGGCCTCGTCGGGCTTCCAGCACTGAAAGAAAGAGGAGGCAAAAGCTTCTGTTATCCCACCTCCCAAATAGAAGGTTTCAGACCTCACAGGAGGCTAGGCTAGATCTTTCACCTCATCATCACATGTTTGTAATTCATTTGTGGCTAATGACAGGTGAACACATTAATCACATTATATTTACAGGGTAAATTGTTCATTTTACTAGGCTGCATGGGGGAAAAGGGACAGTGCCTGGGGTTGCAATAACTAAAAGTCCTTTCTGGGAATGCACATTCCAAAAAACTGCTCTCCGCTAAAGGCCGGCCAAGTTTTTACATGTTGCAGTTTGAAACATATTATGTTTCTGCGGAATAGCCTCTTTGGTAATGTGAATGTTTTAATCTATAAGAGGTTGCTGGGTTTTTCTAATCACACTAAAGCAGAGTTGCATTGTATCATGTTACAAATGTTGTGACAATTTAGGTTTTTAGTGCAAACCTTTTTTCTTCTGCAATCTAGATGAGGTGATGTCCATGGACCAGAGCTTCCTGAAGATCATTCTGGAAAACCACATCCTGAAGAACAAGATTGTGCTGAGTCAGCTGTACAATGGTCAGCGTCTGGAAACACTTGCAGGAAAATTTCTCCGAGTCTTCGTTTACCGCACAGTCAGTGTTGTTTTATATGACCTTCTTCTTGATTTACTTATCATTTGTAAAATCCGTATGGTAAAAAAATTGAAATATATAAAAATATCATTAATTGAAAAGAATGAATTAAATTAATAATTAATTAATTAAATGGTTTATTTAATCATACATTTTACTGCTTATATATACAGTGTGTGTGTATATATATATATATATATATACATATATATAGTATTTAAGTATATAAGTATATATATATATATAAGTATTTTTATGAGACGGCTACTACATAATATTTATTTGAAATGTTATTTATAGAAATGTGTTTTAAATATTTGTTCATCAGATATTTGCCCTTTGTTTATCATTCAAAATACATTGTAAAAAAATATATAGAAAATAGTCGCTTTTCCAATGTCGGCTACTAAAATTTAAGTACTTTTAAAGGTTTGATAAACTGTTTATAAAACTTTATGAAAGTTATGAAAACTTTCCTGCCATTTTTTTCCCCGCTTTCTTATCCACTGTTTTTGCATGTTTATCTGAAATGTTTTTGAAATGTATTTGCTTGCCCTTTTTAAACATAATATATTAACACATATTTACAATATGTTTCAAATATATTTAGCCTTTTTTGCAATATGGGAACATTTGAACAGAATCATATAAAGACTGTGTTATGTCACACAACTCAAATGTGAGGTGTATGAATTCTTATTCTTGGCCCATTACTTACATTGACATTTATTGACATTGTAAGCTCTAAGTAATAGCTGAAACAGTTTCCATTAGTAAACTCAGAGAAAGTGAACTGTCTCGTAATATTTTAACTACGTAGGCTGTCTGCATTGAGAATGCCTGCTTGATCCGTGGAAGCAAAGAAGGAAATAACGGTGCCCTCCATCTCATGAAGACCCTGATCACGCCAGCAGATTCAAGCATGTACCAACTTCTGGTGAAAAACGGAGCCTTCAAGTAAGAAAAATGACATGTTTGCACAGTCAAAGTGAAGATCGCTTTCTTGTTCTCGTCTTGACTGTATCATTTCCTTTCTGCAGGATCTTTTTGTCCCTGATGGAGGCAGCTGGCCTGAATGATCTGCTCAAACAGGAAGGAGATTTCACACTTTTTGCTCCCACAGATGAGGCTTTTGCAGGGCTCAGCGAGAGAGACTTGTCTCTTTTGAAGAGTGAGTCCTTTCATACATGTGATTTTCAAGGCACACCACTTTTAGAATTACTGTTTAGCTGTGTTTTATTCAGGATTAATGAGATTAAAGATGAAAGACGGAGGCAACAGGATGTGACCGCGTCTCTTCTCTGTGATTAGGTGACGTTAACGCCCTCAGAGCCATCCTGCTCTATCACTTCAGTAACAGCATCTTCATCGGTGGAGGCTTGGAGACTGGAGTCACTAACCTCCTGAAAACACTCCAGGGCAGCAATTTGAAGGTGTTGTTTGTAAGTATCAAGCACTCTGGCTGTCCAGCCTTAAAATTAATTTCCAGTCATAGCATCTGTTTTAGGGACACATGCGAGAATCTTTATCAGAGTATGATTCCGCTCTGTAATATAAAGTTTTATGGTGGGAATTTCCTGTGAGTAAAATCTAAATATTCTTTGTGGAAAACCACTTATCTTGATACAACCTCTGATTTAATATTTATAGAAGTGCTAAAGTGGTAAAGAAGAATTTTAAAAATAACAATTATAATAGTTTTATGGTTATTTTTTATGTATTCATTTATTTTTATTTTTTTAATTAATTAATTTATTTATTTGTTACATTGTAAAGGTGACATAAAACATTGTGTTTCTTTGATTAAATAAAATGTTATCTTTTGTTGTAAGTTAATATTGTAAACTGTGTAAACTAGCCTAAATAATCAAATTAGCTGTCAGTATATTATTTAATGTGACTGAATACATTAGCTTACACCAATTAAAACAAGCATTAATATTCATATCAGATAGGTACAACTCCTAAATATAACAAGAACCCGTATTATCTCTTTAAATTTTTTGTTTGATTTCTAATCATGTTAATTTAATTTAATTTAATTTAATTAAAAAATGTTTGATTTATAATCATATTAAATTAAATTATTAATAATTGTAATTATTAAAAATATTACAGAAGTGGTTTTCTTTTTTATTCATTTTTTGTCATATGTAAAATATACATATCATTTAATTGTTATATATTTCAGTGCTTTTTATTTAATTGTTGTTATTGTATATTTTGTTCACAATTTTAAAAAGTGAAAAAATAAAATACATAATATAATATTTCATATGTTTTATTATAACATTTATTTATTGAAAAATTTGCAATTTGTAGGCAAATGAGAGCATGCTGGTCAACACTGTGAAAGTTCCTGATTCTGATCTAATGGCCACAAATGGAGTAATTCACTTTGTTAGGACTCTTCTGTACCCTGAGGGTGAGGGTTATGAAATTATGCCTCTACTTTTGCAGTGGCCTTTTTTTTTTCATTTTCAAATCAAATCCATGTTTAAGAACTGTGTTCTATTTTAAAGATATACCGGTTGGGAACCAGGACCTCCTTTCACTCCTGAGAAGGATCATCCGATACATCCAGATTAAGGTATTGAATTGCAACATGCTCCTTCAAAACCATGTCATAGGCATGAAGTAGTTCACATAAAGGCCTGTTTAGGGGACTCGGTTGCCCTGAAGGTCTGGGCTTAACTTGATTATGTGCAACCAAATACATAATTGACATGCCTAAAAATTGTAATAGACTGGATATATACATGTATTTTCTTTCCTTTGTAGTTTATCTCTGGATACAGATATCAGGAGATTCCTCTGACATTCATGAGTATGTATATCAAAAATGGTTCTCATGTCAATGCAATTAGTTTTTTTTATCTGTTTTCTCAAAAATTCAGTTTTCTTTAAATCTGACATAATCATGTTTAAATTTTTTTTCCTTTAGAAAGAGTCATCACAGGTAATTTACAACAGTGCAACTCATTACTAACGAGAGGGCTATATTATTGATTTGTTGCATTTGTCTAATGAGTATTGTTTTTTTTATATGCAGTCCAGAGAGAGCCCACCATCACCAAGGTGACACGGGTTATTGAGAGCCCAACAAAAATTAAAAAGGTCACCCGTGTGATTGAAGGTCAGCCCTCTGTCACTAAGGTCACCAGGGTAATCGAAGGTGATCCTACCATGACTAAGGTTACCAGAGTCATCGAAGGGAATCCATCTGTTACCACAGCCATTGAAGGTAAACATCATTTAACACATCCATAATATTAACGCTTTGCGTGTGTGTGTGTGTGTGTGTGTGTACATGTGCACACACACACACACACACACACACACACACGTGTATATATATGTGTTATAATGTATGCTAAATATATTATATATATAAAATAATGATATAATAATACTAAATATAGCAACAATTTTTAACAAATTATTATTAGGCTATTTGATGACTAATAAAGATTTTTCATAAGTTATCTGGTGTGACAAGTGTTGGGGAAGTAAATTTATTAATCAATTGTCAAATTATGTAAAAAAAAATATATATACAAATATTACTTGATTGTGTGTTTTTAGGATACATAAAATGCTAGTTATGACATGACTATTGAAATAACTATTATCAATGGATCTAACCAATTCTAAAATCAACATGCCATTCTCACCACATAATGCTATTAAACAAAATACAGAATTTAAGATGTGCTGTAAATGTTGACAAATAAACAAATGACAATTCTCCTGTAATGCACTGATTTTTTTTATAAAAGTCCACTGGGCCAAAAACATCCATAGTTGAAGAAACACACTAACAACTCAAAATGCAATGTGTTGTCTTTTAGTCATACTGTCATACTCCAAATGTGTGATAATGTTACTTAAAATATGACTATGAAAAGCACATGTGATATTTCAACAGTTCAGTTGTAGCTCAAGCCAGAACCCATCCTTTCCTGGACCTGGATTTCACAATTATTGACACCTGCATAAGTCTGGGAAGTCGTGGCCTAATGGTTAGAGAGTCGGACTCATAACTCAAAGGTTGCGGGTTCGAGTCTCATACCGGCAGGGATTGTAGGTGTGGGGAGTGAATGTACAGCGCTCTCTCCCACCTTCAATACCACGACTGAGGTGCCCTTGAGCAAGGCACCCCCAACTGCTCCCCGGGCGCCGCAGCAAAAAAACTGGCTGCCCACTGCTCCGGGTGTGTGTTCACTGCTGTGTGTGTGCACTTTGGATGGGTTAAATGCAGAGTACTAATTCCAAGTATGGGTCACTATGTCACGTCACTTTCACTTAATGTTTTGTATCAACAGGTCCTGAATATATGATATCCGATATGGAGCTTTATGGTAGAGTTTATTATGGTAGAGAGTACTTTATTAGCATGCTAGCGCCAGCGCTAACAGTTAACTCCACTTTGTGCTCCTCATTCCAAACTTGTTTTTCTAATAGATTTTGTCATATTCCAGGTAACGGAATATAGTTTGCCGTTTTATTGTGCTAAAGATACTGGTTAAAGACAGCTAAACCTTTTGATTTATTGTTCTCCCTTTTATATTATTTGGATACTCTTTACTTTTTGGATCTCTTTTAGCTACTGTACAGGCTACGGAGTAAAACCGGCCCACTCAACCACTAATATTTCCTCCTTTTTCCTTTTCTTTCTAGTTCTTCATGTATAATCAGATAAATGCGAGTATCATTCTTTATTTCTTCTTCTTTCCTGCTAGATTTTGGCGAGGACCCTGAAGAAATCACCAGATACATTCAAGGTAAGAATCTGACGTTAGGTATCTCAAGCTAAATCGTCCCAACATGGTTGACCTTTATGTCTTTTGCTAATCCATTTCCAGGGGGAAGAGTGACTCAAAGAAGACCAGGTAGATAATTCACTAAACAGTGATTTGCATCTTTTTTGACAACATGGCAGCAACATTAGGCCAATCAATTAAGTGCAAAAACTTGTGGTAACCCCTCTTTTCATATTTTTTTAGCAGTTCCCCGGAGGAGAACCTAAATCAAGACCAGCCACAGTGAGCCCAAGTAGAAAACAAGACCTGAAGAGTTTAGCATATACTTCCTTCATTTACTTGCGCAATGGTCCAGAACCTACCAGGTTGGAGTTGAGTTTAAGGCAAAAGAAAAACAAACTCGATTTTGCTCATTCCTGTTAAGGCAAAAGAAAAACAAACTCGATTTTGCTCATTCCTGTTGCCCCAGAGATAATAGATGATTTTGTTCAAGTACATTTGGTCCAAACAGGAATATGAAATTCCCCAGACGTTTGTAAATATTTCAAGCTTTCTCTCTTTTTTGTTGTAAAATGTGGTTTGAAAAATGACCGGTTCATGAATAAGTGATCATATGTGACGTGATACACAAAATCTGATGCTTTCTGATGATTTTGTGTGAAAACAATTCAGAAACATTTGTACAACCATGCATTACGGTTGGAGTACACTCATTACTTGAGGCATCCGGAAAAAAAAAATGGAAGCGTTCATATGAAATACATGGTGTAGGGAAGAGTTGCCTTAAACCAGTAATATGAATTTATTTTTTTCTGGGGTTTACCGTTGCATGGACAATGATTTTATGGTGCTCATGTTTAGATGGTGTAAAATCTAAAATAAAGACAGAAATTGTGTTGCATTGTTTTGTTATAAAATCTCAAATCTTTTTCATGTTTCTTTTCTGGTGGGATAGAGGTTAAATGTTCTTCTTTAGTGTTTTGTGTGTGTATGTAAGTGTGTCCATTTGCATAAACCATGCACAAATGTGCTGAACAATGCATGCTTTGAAAACTCAAAGCTTTATCTCAAACTGAATTTTCTTGTTTCCAGTCCAAATTTAATTCAACATGAACAGGTTTTGGCTCCTTTGCATTTATTTTTCAATTTCCATAATAAACTCAACTTTTAGACATGGAATTGTGTGTCAGTTTTTGAAGTTATACAACGTTAACACGTTTTATTTATTTATTTTAAATAAAAATATTTTACAACATTTTATTAGTATTGAAGCACTATCTTTGCCAAGTACTATGACTTGTAAGCTAACAGATTCCAAGGTGAAAAAAATATTTGCAATGCAAAAATATCTCGCAAATGTAAGATGCAGGCTAAGATACTGTAAAAGCCCTGTTTATCAGAATAAGGTATTTCAAAAATACCATTTCCAGTATAATGATTCATATTTTAGCACAGTCGGCACAAAAAAGTCCATATTTTTATTTAAGTTTCATTTTGCATAAGTTTTCAAGTATTTCAAGTTCATACATCCATCTGAAATTACATGATTAATGCATGATTTCTCAGAGAGTGTGATGTATTTGTGCATTTATCAACTTTTTTTTTTTTGCCCCCCTGGAGGTACAAATTCACACTTATTCATGTGAGTTCAGGCAGCCACTGTAATGTGGGATAAGTCAAGGCACACCTATAATACAGAATTTTTACATAACTTCTATGTTTTAGCATGTCACACACTGACATTTTGTGTCAATATGGAATGTAGCAAACGTTATCGAAAGAAAATCCCACAAAAGATACACTGTCTGAGCTTTGCTGCTAATTTTTCTTCTTGATGCAGTTAAAACTCTGAATGCAGTTTTGTTACTGTAAGAAATGCTGATTACATAAAATCTTATTAGAAAAACCAAATGCATATTATATATTAGGGGATAATGTTTTTTACTTTTAATAAATATTGCTAAAATTTTTACTGTATAAATAAATATATATATATATTTTTTTTTGCATTAGTAGTAGTTTGGACCAGGCATATAATGAGCACACTCTTATATGGAATGTAGCAAACGTTATCGAAAGAAAATCCCACAAAAGATACACTGTCTGAGCTTTGCTGCTAATTTTTCTTCTTGATGCAGTTAAAACTCTGAATGCAGTTTTGTTACTGTAAGAAATGCTGATTACATAAAATCTTATTAGAAAAACCAAATGCATATTATATATTAGGGGATAATGTTTTTTACTTTTAATAAATATTGCTAAAATTTTTACTGTATAAATAAATATATATATATATTTTTTTTTTGCATTAGTAGTAGTTTGGACCAGGCATATAATGATCACACTCTATGCATATCTAAACTAAATGTGTGTAAATGTAAACAGCCAACCCAACTAAGAATGCAAAGGGCTGCAAACATTTTTCAGAATGCAAGACTGAACTTGCTGCTATTCATTTCCACATAGAGGTGGAGGTCAAAGCGGGACATTTCAGATGGGGGCTAGTGGCGACACGCATCCCACTGTAGTGCATGCAGCTGGTTCATTTGAGCTGCTTCCAAGAACTACAGTCAGATTCCAGTATGACAACCTCTTTGAGTCACTTCATCTGATTTCATTCTAATTAGCAGAATGGCAGAACTTGTGATCATGTCCTGACCTTTTGTAATGTCGTATATATCCAAATGCTCCGTCAGTATCTTTCATTTGCAGTCATGTTGGAGCCCAACCCTCAATAGCTTGTTCAGGCAAGAGGGGCAATGCAAAGAACAGCTAACTGGGAAAGGGTTGGTTGTACAGCACATGCTGGTGGGTTGCAACTCATACACCCCCACACCTTCTCAAACAATCCATCAAGATATTTGAAATGACTTGTTTGAGGGAGGGGGGGATCACAGTTACGTAAGGATTGGATTTGCATATACAGAAATGTCAAAATGGACTAGTTGCATGTTTTTGCAACTAGAACATATTTCAAAGGAAGAGTTTACTCACCCTGTTTTTGTTAAATTGTACATGTATGTGAGGTATTTCTTTAAAGCTGCAACACTGACACAGACATTAGCAGGTTCAGATTTGCCTAAAGGGTCAAAGGTCACCACCCAGCGACAGACCGTTACATCCCAACACAACAGGCACTTAACAAATGGGCCGGGAGCGAAAGTTAACTACTTTACACACATATTACAACTTTTGCTGTAAAAACATGAGGGGAGAGAGTCAGTCCAGTCGTAACTGCCAAATTTACTTCCAAACATTGCTAATATGCAACATGTCTGAAATGGAGATTTACAATGAAAAGGAAGAACCATTGCTGAATTTATTAATAACCACATTGTTTTTAAAAGATATAGTTAAAAATACCATACTGTTGAGAATCCCGGCACTGGTTGGCTATGCATGCACTCCCTACATCGCAGATTTTTATGAGCGGTTGAAATGGAATGCTTCATTATTACTACTAATGATACAATATTATACTTCATTTTCTTGCTCTCTTCCCTCTTCTCGTCTTTTCATTTCTTTAATAGTGTGGTTGAATGGATCTTCATTATAGTGGAAAGAACTGTTTAAAACTAATATAGAACCAACAGTTTTTACAATAATTTCAGAATTAATGTTTTTGTAGGCTACTATTTGTACTTTAATATGTTTTATAACACACAGAGGATCCAAACTAATAATAATAAAAATATATTTGTTTGCTTTTGGGCAAAAGGTCTCTTATACTAACCTTATATGCTAAAAGAAAAACAGTAATACTGTAAAGTAACTTTTTTGTATTTTAATATATATATTTTTTTATAATGTACTTTATTCCTGTGATGACAAAGCTTATTTTTTCTGTATCACATTATCCTTCAGAACTCATTCTAATATGCTAATTTGGTGCTCAGAAATTTTTGTTATTATTATTAATGTTAAAAACAGTTGTGCTGCTTAACATTTTTTGTGGAAACTCTGATACATTTATATGAGGATTCTTTGATAAAAAGAAAGTTAAAAACAGCATTTGTTTAAAACAGAAATCTTCTGTAACATTAGAAATGCCTTTATTGTCAATTTTGATCAATTCAATGCATCCTTGCTGAACGTTTGAATAGTAGTATATTTCTATTATTAAACAACATTCTAAAGAAGATATTGTAGTTTAAAGAACTTAGAGGAGAAAGGCTTTTTGTGACTCAACTATTATTGTAACACATTTATCTTGTTTATCCCAAGACCTTAAGTATGTTATGCTTTGTGAAACCACATCCTGCATTTTTTCACATTAGTTCCTGCAAGTAATTCAGTTTTCAACTGTAGCAGCTCCATATGATAAGGATAAACAACACAACTCTATCACACTCTATCGTCCGTTAAATAAAACCAGATAGTTAGTTTGGATGTTACAACATCAAGCACATTTTTAGGTTATCAAAACATTTTTAGTGCTTACTTGAAACTGTTTATTCCAATGAATACAACTTCTGTCTCCGCAAACAGATGTGTGTGTTTCTACACACATAATGAAACATCTACTCTATGCCTTGAAATAATTCAAATACTGAAGTTAGGCAGTTAATCACATTTTCAATCTGCAGCATCATTTGTATTGTGACAATGGAGCAGACTCAACATTTACGTAACTGGTTTTGACTACCTGCCAAGAAATACTTACAGTAAGTTATGAAAATGGAGCCCAATAAATAGATAAATCAACTCGTATTTTATTCTATCAAAGCTGACATGGAGAGTAAACATAAAAACAAAATATATCATCACGCACAAAGCCGTCTGTCCCATGGAAGCCTTCAGATAGGGGATTGAGAGCAGCTGTCTGGAGATATTTGGCATTATTAATCACATGCTGGAGAATACAAATACTTGAAGCAATGAAAATACTTTGGGGGGGGGAAACTGAACTCATGAAATATCCAGAGGTTTATCCATCACCGCTTTCAGTCATTAAGATTCATGTAGAGTTGTTTTTCATAATGTTTTGCATTCTTCTGTTGGTTTCCTTCCATCTTTGTCATGAACAGGAACTATCTTCACTTTCGCAGCCTCTTTAGCTGACACAGGATTACCATCTAGCATGAGGAATGATCGAGGTCTCCATCCTAGTCCTGGAAGGTCCAAAGCTATGAATTTCTCAGCACATAATAAGGTAATGTTTGTTTGTACAGCGCCGTCTGAATCTGGATTCCAATACATAGCAGTTGGATCCATGGACACAAGGATTTTTCCAAGAAAAGTAATCTCAATTCATTTAACTTCTATGATGGATCCAGAGTGGACGTGGAGTTTTTGGATTTGCAGATGTTATCGTCTCTTGTTTTAGTCAGAGATCGCACATTTGTCTTTGCAACACACATGCTGATACCTACTAAAGCCACATAACATGCTGCATTTTCCCCAGAGCTTTCAACATCTCAAATGGTTGTAGTTAATGCAAAATCTTCATTAGAATCCTCTTCTGAGTTGTTTATCTTCTCAATGATAGACCATTTGATTTTTGCATACATACTCGAGCTTTGAGTTGAGAGGCCATAAAATGTCAAATAACTGGGTTTCCAGATGCTGTAAGTTTCCAGTCAATGCTAATAGATTCTGCACAAACATAATAGTCAAAACATGGCATAGCATAATATATAATAGTCCAAACGCTGAGAATTTTTATATTTATTGGAGACTGGGAGTTGGTTGGCACTTTGTTCATATTTGAATGCTGTCCAAAAAGGCACAGCTGTCACACAATCTGAAAGCCTGTCAACGTTTAGAGACTAGAACATGGCACAGTATATTATGTCAGTATGTTAGAACGAAAATTAAACCCCTCAGCTAAAAATGCTGTAAAAAAAACTATTGAGGAATAGAATAGAATAGAATATGTTGATGATGTTTTTCCAAGAAAAGTAATCTCAATTCATTTAACTTCTATGATGGATCCAGAGTGGACGTGGAGTTTTTGGATTTGCAGATGTGATCGTCTCTTGTTTTAGTCAGAGATCGCACATTTGTCTTTGCAACACACATGCTGATACCTACTAAAGCCACATAACATGCTGCATTTTCCCCAGAGCTTTCAACATCTCAAATGGTTGTAGTTAATGCAAAATCTTCATTAGAATCCTCTTCTGAGTTGTTTATCTTCTCAATGATAGACCATTTGATTTTTGCATACATACTCGAGC